TGATGGGAGAGGGAAGAAAGAAAGAGAAAGGATGATGGAAGGAAAAGAAGAAAGAAAAAGATGGGAAGAAAGGAAAGGAAGAAAGAAGGGATGATAGGAGGGAGGGAAGAAAAAGAAGGGATGATGGAAGAAAGAGAAGGAAAATGGGAAATAAAAGAAGGGATGAAAGGAGGGATGATGGGAGAGAAGAAAAAAAGAAAAAGATGATGGAAGGAAGGAAAAAAGAAAAAGAATGGAAGATAAAGGGAAGAAAAGACATGCTGGGAGAGAGGAAAGAAAGGATGATGATTGGAAGCGAAGAAAGAAAGAAAGAAGGAAAGAAAGAAAATGGAGGGATGATAGAAGGGAAGAAAGAAAAAGAAGGGAAGAGGAAGAAAAGGAACGGAAGAAGGGAGGGAAGATGTATAAGGGAAAGCAAGAGAAGAAGAAAAAGAGAGGAAGGCGAAAGAAAGGATAGCAAAGGGCTTAATACAACTTGTATTTGGGGATTTTCTATCACGACCAGCAAAGCTTTCCTTGCCAACATGAAAAGAATGGGGAGAGATGTGACTTATCCAACATTCCCATGGCTTTCCCAAAGCGTTAAAGGCCTTCCTCCATCTCTCCCGGGTTGAATTACCAGCCAAGGGGACAAGGTATATACATATTTTATTCTTTTAAAAAAAGTTTACAGTTTCTTTCATTATACACAACTATTTTGAGAGAGAGAGAGAGAGAGGTTATAATTCTTAGAAGAGGCGCCTGCCATGGCACCCGGCAGGCCCACTACATCATCACAATGCAAAGGAAGAGAGGAAGGAAGGGGAGGAGAGGACGGGAAACGGGATCCAGGCTCCAATGGGAAAGGGCTCCACGCCCCGCTGTTTTGTTTTTTCTGTTTTTAATCTCTTCAAGTATTCACACAATATGTACCAAATACAGTCAGTAAAATAAAAACCGGTAGGAAAGAAAAAAAAAGGAAGAAATGGCCATTTCTCATGCGGCAACACTCTCCCGCGTCAAAAGTGTCGGCACAACTCGAGACAAAGCGAGAGAAAGAAAGGAAAGATACGGTATTTATTTATTTATAGTATTTATAAAACCGGCAGCCCCAGATCCAGACTCCTCTCCAATGTAAAGTAAAAGAGTCATTTTCTGGGTTTGCTTGGGTTAAATAACTTCCACCGTGCCGTCCGTGTGTTGTCAAAAAGCCAGAGCGAGTGTTGCACCCATATTAAAAGCATCCGGCAAACTCTAGCAACCATCAGAAAGCATCCTGCAAACTCTACCTTCTTGTTCATTCAGCCTTTGTCTTTTGAAACACTTGAGAGTCTTCCTTCATGTCCCATTTTCAAGAGGAAGGAGACACCCACTCAACACAAACACAAGGGACAGAAAGATTAAGGGAAGAGGTCCTGCAATTAAGGTTTGTTTTGGAGAGCAAAATGGATCCAAAACAAAGGCTGCTCCGTTCAACTTGGTTCCCACCTGAAGATCATACCCAGATTACCCTCTTGAAAGCATCCTGCAAACTCTACCTTCTTGTTCATCCAGCCCTTCTCTTTTGAAACACTTGAGAGTCTTCCTTCTTGCCCCATTTTCAAGAGGAAGGAGACACCCACTCAACACAAACACGAGGGACAGATTAAGAGAAGGAGTCCTGCAATTAAGGTTTGTTTTGGAGAGCAAAGGCCTCTTGCATCTGTCTCTTTTCAACTGGATCCAAGACAAAGGATGCTCCGTTCAACTTGGTTCCCACCTGAAGATCATACCTAGATTGCCTACATATATATTGTAAAAGTCTAGTAATGTGAAAAGTAATGCCAATGGGAGGTCGATGGTTTGGAGATAGGAAAGGGAAGGAAAATACCGGAGTAAGAAATAGGAAAATGTTTCTGCTTTCCACTGGAGAGGACTAGACCCATGATGGTGAACCTATGACACGCGTGTCAGCACTGACACGCATGGCTATTTTTGATGACACGCAGACACAGAGTACACCTTATAGGAGCCAATCTAATTCCATCCTTAAATTTGTAAAAGGCTCTACAAATTTAACATCTGCACATCTGAGCATTGTTCATAACTCAGCATGGAATACACATTTTTCTTATTGAAACTATAAATATTGCAAAATTATGTGTTTTTTTCCTCGAAGTTGACACCCCATCCAGGTTTTTGGCAAATTTTGACACACCAAACTCAAAAGGTTGCCCATCACTGGACTAGACCAAAGGCCAAAGACAACAGAGAAGGTCTCCTCTATTAGTGATAGTATAGGTGCGAAATTCACACAATTTGCTGTGGTTCAAAGAGAAAGCCAAATTCAAACTTGCTTTTTTATTAACTTATCAATGGGATGTGTGCCTGGCTTTGGAAGAAGTTGAACCAAGACGGCACTTTGGAAAGAAGCAATTCAGGAGAAATGCTGAGAAATTCAAAAGGATTGTTTCTCAGTCCCATGGGGTAAGAAGGCAGCAGATGAAACTGAAGGAAGAAGGGATGGTGGAAGGAGCACGAAGGAAAAGAGAAAGCCATATAAATTGACCCAAGTTAAACTGAGGGAAAGAAGGATGGTGGAAGGGAGCAGAGAGGAGGAGGAGAAGGAGACACTTAAATTGACTCAGAGGAGAAAAGGGGATAGTGGATGGAAATAGAGAGGAAGAGCTATATAAACCAGCCCAGAGGCAAAGAAAGGATGATGGAAGGGAACGGGGAAGCAGAGAAGGAGATATATAAACTGGCCCAGGGGCAAGACAAAGGAAAGGGGGATGGTGGAAGGGAAGAGAGAGGAGGAGAGGAAGGAGCCATTGAAACTGACCTAGAGAGGAAAGAGGGATAGTGGAAGGGAAGAGAGAGGAGGGAGAGTCATACAAACTGGTCCAGGGGCAAATAAAGGATGGTGGAAGAGAACAGGGAAGAAGAGGAGGAGTCCAAAAATTGGCCCAGGCAAGACAATGGAAAAGGGGATAGTAGAAGGGAACAGAGAGGAGGAGAAGGAGCCACTTAAATTGCCCCATGCAACGGAAAAGGATAGTGAAAGAGAGCAGAGGAAAGACTGGCCCAGAGGAAAAGAAAGGATGGTAGAAGGGAACAGGGAAGAGAAGGAACCTTATAAACTGGCCCAGGCAAGACAATGGAAAGCGGGATAGTAGAAGGGAACAGAGAGGAGGAGAAGGAGCCACTTAAATTGGCCCAGGCAACGGAAAAGGATAATGAAAGAGAGCAGAAAGGAAAGACTGGCCCAGAGGAAAAGAAAGGATGGTGGAAGGGAACAGGGAAGAAGAGAAGGAGCCCTATAAACTGGCCCAGGCAAGATAATGGAAAGTGGGATAGTAGAAAGGAAAAGAGAGGAGGAGGAGGAGGAGGAGGAGCCACTTAAATTGGCCCAGGCAACGGAAAAGAAGGATAGTGAAAGAGAGCAGAGAGGAAGGATAGCCATATAAACTTGCCCAGAGGAAAAGAAAGAATGGTGGAAAGGAACAGGGAAGAAGAGAAGGAGCCCTATAAAATGGCCCAGGCAAGACAATGGAAAGGGGGATAGTAGAAGGGAACAGAGAGGAGGAGGAGAAGCCACTTAATTTGGCCCAAGCAACGGAAAAGAAGGATAGTGAAAGAGAGCAGAGAGGAAAGCTCAGAGGAAAAGAAAGGATGGTAGAAGGGAACAGGGAAGAAGAGAAGGAACCCTATAAACTGGCCCAGGCAAGACAATGGAAAGGGGGATAGTAGAAGGGAACAGAGAGGAGGAGAAGAAGGAGCCACTTAAATTGGCCCAGGCAACGGAAAAGGATAGTAAAAGAGAGCAGAGAGGAAAGACTGGCCCAGAGGAAAAGAAAGGATGGTGGAAAAGAACAGGGAAGAAGAGAAGGAGCCCTATAAACTGGCCCAGGAAAGACAATGGAAAGGAGGATAGTAGAAGGAAACAGAGAGGAGGAGAAGGAGCCACTTAAATTGGCCCAAGCAACAGAAAAGAAGGATTGTGAAAGAGAGCAGAGAGGACAGATAGCCATATAAACTGGCCCAGAGGAAAAGAAAGGATGGTGGAAAGCAACAGGGAAGAAGAGAAGAAGCCCTATAAAGTGGCCCAGAGGGGGAAAAGGTGGATAGTAGAAGGAACAGAGAGGGAGAGCCATATGGAAAGCCAAAGGAAAAGGGGATGGTGGAAGGGAGGCAAGAGGAAGAGGGAGTGCCATATCAACCAGCCCAGGATAGTTAAGCACTTCTCCAACCATTCCTTAAAGTCATTCTGGATCCCTTTGGAAGTCAGTCCAACAGCAAGCAAGGAAGTCCTGCAAACCTGAGACTAAAGAGGAGATATTTGCTCTTTCTCTGCTTCCAAATGTTAAGCGTCAGGGGCATAAAAGGGAGGAAGGGAAAAAGGTAAAGCTGGTGCTGCATTTCGGAGGCCTCTGTATTTACCTTATGTCTTTTGGGAATCTCTTTTGCACGCTTGACGGAAACAAGCATTCCTATTTCGTCCGGGGAGGGAAAATTGAAAAGAAACGGGCGCTCGGCTTACGAGAGAAGAGAGAGAGTTGCGTCTGCCATTGCAAATGGGTCAAAACACCTGATTTCCAGGAACGAGGGGTTTGGTTTGTTTGGGTTTTGAAAAATACCTGTGTAAAGAAAAGGGAATTGAGAACACTCATAATGTGTGTGTATGTGTGTGTGTGTATATACACAGTCTTGAAAAAATACATTTTATTTCTGGTTTCAATAGGAACCACCGTCACCACCACTATGGCCACCTCGGCACTCAAAGCTACACCTAAATAGCACCTAAGAGGTCAGAAACCACACCAAGCGGAGCGTCCGAGGAGCTTAAGTCAAGGTGAAAGGTCACGGCACGGCGCTACGTCTCCCACCGTCGATACTATACCTCCCAATGAGCCGTAGTTGCCGGAAGGGAGAGTCCCAACCCATCCAGCCCTAGGTTACTGCTTTATTAAAAAGGGAAAATGAAACCAAAAGTTCAGTATGTGTTTTCCGTTTTTTCTGCGTCATGCCTGTAAATTCAAATATTTGGTATGCTTTTGCTTTATTAAAGGAGAAAAATAATAATAATAATTATAATAATTATAATAATAATAATCATGCCAAAGTTAAATCCTACTTTACAGAAAATTCTTTCCCCAAAGGAAGAAAGGAAGAAAGGAAGGAAGGGAAGAAAAAAAAAGCAAATTGATCACGCTTTAGGATTGTACTTCCTTTTCCCGACGGACCCCACCCAACATTAAACACACCCCGGCCTCAAACGAGCAATGGCGTTTGAGAAGAAACCAAGAGGGGGAAATTACAATTGGCGGAGCTTAGCTTTGACATTCAGTGTTCTTGCTTTTTTTGTTTTCTTTTTGGAGTCACCCCAGTTTCAATCCCAAAGCGCTGCTCCATACGGAGGCGGCGCCGAAACCCCGCTGCCCCCGACGACACCCGGCTGGAAACCCTTTGCAAACGCGTCAGAGGCAACGTCCAGATTGGAAACCCATCCCCGTTGGGTGAACATGCAAGCGTCCATATTCAAGTATCCTCAATGTCCCAGGTAGGCATTCGTGGTACAAGGGTCTCTCTCTGACCATTCGTGGTTGTTTGAAAGGGGGAGGCCTCATAGGTTCCAAATGGAGAAAAACAATAATAATAATAATAATAATAATATCGAAACATTCCCAATTGTTAAAGGAAACTCTGATCAATCCCTCTCTTTGAAAACAAGGGGGGAAACCCCTCTCCTTCCTCCTTGGCCCATCAGACTGGATTTTCCTAGGATTGTCTGCTTTGCCGATTCACAAAAGGAGCGGGTTTGGGACCGGCGGCGAAAAGAGCCGAGAGAATCATCCACAACCACTGAGCGCATGAAGAAACCAAGGCTCCATCCTGCAAATCGATCCCGTTGGCAGCAAAAACGTCCTCCCGACAAGGTTTTGCAAACCCAAAAACGGGCCGGATTTGCAGCCTTCAAGAGAGTAAAGCCGATGTGGGAGAGCGCTTGCTCCCTGTTTTTCTTTCTAAAAAAGAAGAAGGCGGCACGCTTTTGAGAATCCGGACTAAGAAAAGGTGACGGAACGGCACAGACTTTCGTTACGCCTCCCCAAAGTGAGCAGACCGATCTTCCGCCGGTCTCTATCGAGGCAGGAAGGAAGTCCGCACAAAATGTTCCCCCCTTTTTTTAAAAAAAAAAAGGCAAACAAAATTTGCAAAAATCCGACATTTCAAAGGGGCTGCTCTGTTTTCGGAATTTGTTCGCTTTCGTTTTTGTTTCGTTTCCGAAAAGTGGAAACGGCAACGTTACTGCCTCGTCCCATGAGCCGTGTATCATCCCCCCCAATGCGTATCTCTGTTTACATCTTTTGTTTACATCCTGAAAGTGCTCTTCCTTGTGGTTTTCTTCCATTCGAGGGTGCTTGATGTCTTTGGAAACACGGAAAGAGAAACGGGAGGAGGAACGTAGGCTGCCGTGCGCTCTCCTTCGCAAACGGAGCGGTTGTTGAGACTGGCGGTGCGCTATATCCCACAGGTGGGCTCGGCTCAAACGGAACGGTTATTACGCAGGGGGACGCATGCATGAATGCGCATCTGGGCTTCTTCATATTGCTACCGAGTGGAATGTGGGGGGGGGGAGAATGCGCTACTACGATGCACTTTGGGGTTCTGAGAAATGACCAAGAGGAGAAAAAAATCAAGATCTAAAGGGTGATATATATATATACACATATACATATAGATGCGTGGGTGTGTATATATATATATCTCAATGCTATTATTCATAAAAACCTTGTTTAGTAATAAAAAATTGCTTTGTTTAAATATGAATATTATAGTCTGCTTCTCAGCGCATGGTTAGGAAGTCAGTCTCTCTGAAAAGCAGGGCGCTTCTTTTACTACAATTCCATATCCTGGGCCTCGTCCTCTGAAAAGTCAGACATGGAGCTCTCCGAAGAGCTGTCCCCGGTGCCTTCTTCCTGCTCCTTTAGTGCTTCCTCTGTTGCATATTTCTGAATGTATTCTGGAGGGAGAGAAAGGAAGAAAGAAAGAAGGGAAAAAGAAGGAAGGAAGGAAGGAAGGAAGGAAGGAAGGAAGGAAGGAAGGAAGGAAGGAAGGAAGGAAGGAAGGAAGGAAGGAAGGAAAGAAAGAAGAAGAAAGAAGAAAGAAAGAAAGAAAGAAAGAAAGAAAGAAAGAAAGAAAGAAAGAAAGAAAGAAAGAAAGAAAAGGGACCGGGGTGAGAAGGAGGGCCGTCAACACAGGCAGCAAGGGGCATCGCAAAGTAATAATGCATTGTATTGTCGAAGGCTTTCATGGCCAGAATCACTGGGGTGTTGTAGGTTTTTTCGGGCTATATGGCCATGTTCTAGAGGCATTCTCTCCTGACGTTTCGCCTGCATCTATGGCAAGCATCCTCAGAGGTTGTGAGGTCTCACAACCTCTGAGGATGCTTGCCATAGATGCAGGTGAAACGTCAGGAGATAATGCCTCTAGAACATTATTTATTTAAATTTATTTGAAACTTTTATATCCCGATCTTCTCAACCTCCGTAGAGGGACTCAGACCGGCATATAGCCCAAAAAGTGGCCATATAGCCAAGTATCCTCAGAGGTAGTGAGATCTGTTGGAACTAGGAAAATGGGTTTATATATCTGTGGAATGACCAGGGTGGGACAAAGGACTCTTGTCTGCTGGAGCTAGGTGTGAATGTTTCAACTGTATTGTCAAAGGCTTTCATGGCTGGAATCACTAGGTTCTTGTGGGTTTTTTCAGGCTATAGGGCCATGTTCTAGAGGCATTTCTCTTGACGTTTCGCCTGCATCTATGGCAAGCATCCTCAGAGGTAGTGAGGTCTGTTGGAAATAGGACAATGGGTTTATATATCTGTGGAATGGCTGGGGTGGGACAAAGGACTCTTGTCTGTTGGAGCTATGTGTGAATGTTTCAACTGTATTGTCGAGGGCTTTCATGGCTGGAATCACTGGGTTGTTGTAGGTTTTTTTGGGCTATATGGCCATGGTCTAGAGGCATTCTCTCCTGACGTTTCGCCTGCATCTATGGCAAGCATCCTCAGAGGTAGTGAGGTCTGTTGGAACTAGGAAAATGGGTTTATATATCTGTGGAATGACCAGGGTGGGACAAAGGACTCTGGTCTGTTGGAGCTAGGTGTGAATGTTTCAACTGGCCACCTTGATTAGCATTTGATGGCCGGAATCACTGGGTTGTTGTAGGTTTTTTCGGGCTATATGGCCAAGTTCTAGAGGCATTCTCTCCTGACGTTTCGCCTGTATCTATGGCAAGCATCCTCAGAGGTAGTGAGGTCTGTTGGAACTAGGAAAATGGGTTTATCTATCTGTGGAATGACCAGGGTGGGACAAAGGACTCTTGTCTGTTGGAGCTAGGGGGTGAATGTTTCAACTGTATTGTCAAAGGCTTTCATGGCCGGAATCACTGGGTTGTTGTAGGTTTTTTCGGGCTATATGGCCATGTTCTAGAGGCATTATCTCCTGACGTTTCGCCTGCATCTATGGCAAGCATCCTCAGAGGTTTTGAGGTCTCACAACCTCTGAGGATGGTTGCCACAGATGCAGGTGAAACGTCAGGAGATAATACCTCTAGAACATTATTTATTTAAATTTATTTGAAACTTTTATATCCCGATCTTCTCAACCTCCGTAGAGGGACTCAGACCGGCATATAGCCCAAAAAGTGGCCATATAGCCAAGTATCCTCAGAGGTAGTGAGATCTGTTGGAACTAGGAAAATGGGTTTATATATCTGTGGAATGACCAGGGTGGGACAAAGGACTCTTGTCTGCTGGAGCTAGGTGTGAATGTTTCAACTGTACTGTCGAAGGCTTTCGTGGCCAGAATCACTGGGTTGTTGTAGGTTTTTTCGGGCTATATGGCCATGTTCTAGAGCAGTGGTTCTCAACCTGGGGTCCCCAGATGTTTTTGGCCTTCAATTCCCAGAAATCCTAACAAGCTGGTAAACTGGCTGGGATTTCTGGGAGTTGTAGGTCAAAAACATCTGGGGACCCAAGGTTGAAAACCACTATTCTAGAGGCATTTTCTCCTGATGTTTCGCCTGCATCTATGGCAAGCATCCTCAGAGTTAGTGAGGTCTGTTGGAACTAGGAAAAAGGGTTTATATATCTGTGGAATGACCAGGGTGGGACAAAGAACTCTTGTCTGCTGGAGCTAGGTGTGAATGTTTCAACTGACCACCTTGATTAGCATTTGATGGCCTGGCTACATAGAGAAACCTTTGAAATCCATAAGCATGTGGACATAGAATCATAGAATCATAGAATCAAAGAGTTGGAAGAGACCTCATGGGCCATCCAGTCCAACCCCCTGCCAAGAAGCAGGAATATTGCATTCAAATCACCCCTGACAAATGGCCATCCAGCCTCTGCTTAAAAGCTTCCAAAGAAGGAGCCTCCACCACACTCCGGGGCAGAGAGTTCCACTGCTGAACGGCTCTCACAGTCAGGAAGTTCTTCCTAATGTTCAGATGGAATCTCCTCTCTTGTAGTTTGAAGCCATTGTTCCGCGTCCTAGTCTCCAAGGAAGCAGAAAACAAGCTTGCTCCCTCCTCCCTTGCTCCCTCCTTCTGTTGACAATTTCAACAGAAAGGAGGAAACCATGAAAATGAACAAAATCTGGCTACCAGTATTAAAAAAAAACCTCTAAAATTACAACAGCAAAACAACAGAGGGGGAAAAAAAAAAATCAGGGACATCTAATCACCTCTCAACAAAAGATTGCCCCAGGCACTGCCAGGCCATCCAATGCTAATCAAGGTCGTCAGTTGAAACATTCACACCTAGCTCCAACAGACAAGAGTTCTTTGTCCCACCCTGGTCATTCTACAGATATATAAACCCATTGTCCTATTTCCAACAGACCTCACTACCTCTGAGGATGCTTGCCATAGATGCAGGCAAAACGTCAGGAGAGAATGCCTCTAGAACATGGCCATATAGCCCGAAAAAACCTACAACAACCCATTATTTATTTTATTTATTTACATCATTTCTTTTCCGCCCATTTCAGCCTGAAGGCTGAAATTAGCATTATATTGTATTACATAATCAATATTATATGTAGATACAATATATTATATTATTAGTGATAGTAAGAAGAAGAAGAATTTTATTACAGGCCACTTCTTGTGCCTCAATTAATTAACCAATTACTGTAAAGCCAGGGAAAATGTCAGGGGAGGCTGTTGTGAGCCAACAAAATAGCACAAATATTTTGAGATGCAAAGCTTTGTGTTGAGTGTTTAGTCCTGACAACAATAGTGTGTGGATCCTTTATTGCCTTCTTCAATAAAAGTTATCATTTTGCAAACTTTGTGTTTTGTTTGTTTGTTAAAAAATGCAATACAACTGTTTGGTTTGATCCTGACACGATAAATAAATAAAATCATTTTGTTTGAAAGTGAAACTATTTTTACGATAGAGATCAGGTAGCACTGGGATTGTGGCGCAGCTGGCTGAGTGTCAGCTGCATTAAGATCACTCTGACCAAAAAGGTCATGAGTTCGAAGCCAGCCCAGGTTGGAGTGGGTTTCCAAGAAATTGTGTGTAGCCTGTTGTCAACCTTTGCAACCTGAAAAACAGTTGCATCTGTCAAGTAGGAAAATAAGGTACCACCTTAAAGTGTGGGGAGGCTAAATTAAGTGATTTATGAGGCCATAAAGAAGACTCCAGCAAAGCATTCCAGCGGGGAAGCATGCGGGGAATGCGGAAGTGCTTCATCAGCGTCGCAGATGGACGAGGAAAGCGACAGCTCCCCTGGCGGCCAGAAAAAGTTAAATAGCCTCCATCTATGTCTGTATATGTTTGTATGTCAAAAATTGGCATTGAATGTTTGCCATATATGTGTACACTGCAATCTGCCCTGAGTCCCCTGCGGGGTGAGGAGAAGGGCGGAATATAAAAGCTGTAAATAAATAAATAAATAAATAAATAAAATTGACAGGTTTGCAAATTAATCAAAGTAGAAGTAGAATGCCCTGCCTTCGAAATGCGTGGGACCAGAAGTGCTCCGTATTTTGGAATACCTGCATATGCATCATGAGATATCTAGGGTGTTGGATGCAAGTCCAAACTCAAAATCCATTTAGGTTTCGTATACACCTTGTACACATCTAAGGAAGGTAATTTTATGCACACTATTTTTGAATGATTTTCTGCCCGACTTCCCATCGAAGCTCTTACCTTTAATTTTCTGTTTGTATTCTTCTGGTCGGTGAAGGTACATGGCTGCCGCGTCACCATTAAGGGGGTCTATGGGGTTGGGATAGGCCAGCAACTGGGGCAGGAACGACTCAAATATATTGGTAAGATCTGAAAAAAGAAGCAGAGGAAAATCCGCCTGAGACACACAACGCCTGAAGCATCGCACTAGATACGCTTCCCCTAAATCAGTCCTTCCTCCTCCTCAATTACCACTGATTTACTGTATTTACTCGAGTATAAGCCTAGTTTTTCAGCCTCTTTTTTAGGCTGAAAAAGCTCCCCAACGTCACCAAGGCTGCTACCATCAGTAACACACTACGCCGCTGCCAGGGACTCAGATCTTACAGTGCCATATGTGTCCCCCTCCGAAGCCAGGACATGTCCAGCTGCGCCCGTACCTTAGGTAGTCAGACTTGGCCACAGTGGTCGTTACATCTAGGATAGACTACTGCAACACACTCTACATGGGGTTGCCTTTGAAGACTGTCTGGAAGCTTCAACTAGTCCAACGAGAGGCGGCCAGTTTAATAACTGGGGTGGCATACAGGAAGCATACAACTCCCATGTTATGCCAGCTCCACTGGCTGCCAGTTTGCTACTAGGCACAATTCAAAGTGCTGGCTTTGGCCTATAAATGGCCCTGGCCCAAATTACCTGCCCGAATGCATCTCTTTCTATGTACCATCGTGGAGATTAAGATCCTCCAGGGAGGCCCGCCATTGTCACAGGTGCAATTGGTGGGGACGAGAACAGGGCCTTCTCAGTGATGGCCCCCCAGCTATGGCACTCCCTTCCTGGTGAGATCAGGTCGACCCCCTCCCTCCTGTCCTTTAGAAGGATGGTCAAAACTTGGCTGTGGGACCAAGCTTTTGGGCAATAAAGAAGTGATAGAAATGATGACCAGGCCAATTAGATTTGACGCGGATGACTAGGACGGCTTTAAATGGTGTATTTTATTATCTTGATATATGTTTTTAATGTTTATGTATGAGTATGTGAATTTGTGTCCTGGCACTGAAGGTTTGCCGTGTATACGCTGTGCTCTGCCCTGAGTCCCCTTCGGGGTGAGAAGGGCAGAATATAAATGTTTAAAATAAATAAATAAATGTCCAGGGCCGACTGGAGTTTGCTAGAGAGCATTTGGATGATCTAGAAGAGTATTGGGAGAATGTCATATGAATGTCAGATGAAACCAAAGTAGAACTGTTTGGCAGAAACACAACTCTTGGCCGTGTTTGGAGGAGAAAGAAAGAATGGACTACTCCAGATTGGACTACTGTAATGCGCTCTACGTGGGGCTGCCCTTGAAAACGGCTCGGAAATTCCAACTTGTCCAACGGTCGGCCGCCAGGTTGTTAACTGGTGCTCCTTACAGAGAGAGGTCAACCTTCCTGTTCAAGGAGCTCCATTGGCTGCTGTTCATCTTCCGGTCCCAATTCAAGGTGCAGGTACTCACCTACAAAGCCCTAAACGGTTTGGGACCCGCCTACCTGTGTGACCGTATCTCCATATATGAACCCACACGATCCCTTTGATCATCTGGAGAGGCCCTGCTCATGATCCCACTTGCGTCGCAAGCGTGTTTGGTGGGGACGAGGGACAGGGCCTTCTCTGTGGTGGCCCGCTGACTCTGGAAATCCCTCTCCAAGGACAAGCCCCAACGTTGGCAGTCTTTAGGAAGAGCTGTTGGCTGTTCCAGGGTGCCTTTCCAGAATAGGAAACTCCTAGCATCATGTCCCAAATGCACTTTGTTAGAGATTTAGGATTGTCTGCACATTGCACCTACCTCCAAAACCTCTGCATTTCACCTGTCACATCCAGCACTTTTAAATTTTGTTCACTACATTGCCCTGGCCTTAGGTTTTAAATGCGTCATGGTGTCATTGTTTTTAGTGTTTTATTTTTCACTTGATGTTTATTGTTTGCTTTATGAGTTTTATTGCTGTATTGACTACATCCCGCCTTGACTACTGCAACGCTCTCTACGTGGGGCTGCCCTTGAAGACGGCCCAGAAGCTTCAGCTAGTCCAGCGCGCGGCAGCCATGTTACTAACGGGAGCGGGACGCAGGGAGCACACAACGCCCTTGTTGTCCCAGCTCCACTGGCTGCCGATCTGCTACCGGGCCCAATTCAAAGTGCTGGTGTTATCCTACAAAGCCCTAAACGGTTCCGGCCCAAAATACCTTTCGGACCGCATCTCGGCCTATGAGCCCATGAGGGCCTTGAGATCATCTGGGGAGGCCCTTCTCTCGATCCCGCCCGCCTCACAGGCACGTCTGGCGGGGACGAGAGAGAGGGCCTTCTCAGTGGTGGCCCCCCGGCTGTGGAACACCCTCCCTGTTGACATCAGACAGGCGCCCTCCCTTATGGCTTTTCGTAAGAGCCTAAAGACCTGGCTATTCGAGAAGGCATTTAATTGAGACCCATATGAATTTGGTTATGATAATTGGAACGGACTATGGATTATGAGACTGGCTATGACTCTATGTTGTGATGGCGCGGATATATTAGTGTAATTTAGATTAACGTGTAACTCGATTGTTGTTATATTGTATGTTTTTGTAGATGGTTTTTACATGTTGTACACCGCCGCGAGTCGCCCCAGGGCTGAGAGCGGCGGTCAACAAATGAAGTAAATAAATAAATAAATATTGTTATGTTGTTGTTTTGTTGGCGGCCTTGGCCTTTGTAAGCCGCATCGAGTCCTTCGGGAGATGTTAGCGGGGTATAAATAAAGTTAATAATAATAATGCTGAGTTGCATCCAAAGAACACCATCCGTACTGTGAAGCATGCGCGTGGGTGGCAACATCATGCTCTGGGGCTGTGTCTCTGCAAAGGGACCAGGGCGACTGATCCGTAGACATAGAAGAATGATTGGGACCATGTCTCGTGAGATTCTGAGTGCAAACCTCCTTCCATCAGCAAGGACACTGAAGATGAAGCGTGACTGGGTCTTTCAGCATGACAAGGATCCCAAGCACACCGCCAGGGCAACGAAGGAAGGAGCGGCTTCCCCGTAAGAAGCATTTCCAGGTCCTGGAGTGGCTTAGTCAGTCTCCAGATCTCAACCCTAGAGAAAACCTTTGAAGGGAGTGGAAAGTCCATGTTGCCCAGCAACAGCCCCAAAACATCACCCTGTACACGCAACTCACCATAAAGGGCTGTCCAAGTCTGATTAATTACATCTAGACATACGGTTCCTGACCTGAAAAGAGAGAGAAAAAACACAGAAACAAGTGAAGGGATGGCTTCAATTTGCAGTTCAGACAGAGAGCGCCACAGGGTTGCATCCAGTTCAGTCCTCTCTTCTGCCAGGAGTGCATTCCAGGAGCATGACGGCAAGGAGAGCCAAGGCTGGGCTTCTGTTTGGTCCCATGCGCTCAGCTCTCAAAACAAGCGCATGAGCCCAGGCTGTCCTTGGAGGACCTCTGCTCCCCATTTCTAAGAATACACTCTTGCTCCCAGGAGAAAGAGAAAGCCAGGGATCCTGCTCACTCAAAGGAAAAATGGGGAGTAAAGTAGCCCCAAAACTTGTATATACAGCCATTGGGGGAAGAATATATACACTGTCTATACAAGTCCTGCTGCTTCCTTGTTTGACACCTGCGTCTCAGGTATGTGCTTCCTGGCTGCGTGGAGTGGTCATTTCTCCTTTCGTAGAATCACAGAGTTGGAAAAGACCAAGAAGAAGGAAAATCCCATTCAAAGCACCCCCAACAGATGGCCATCCAGCCTCTATTTATTTATTTATTTGCTGTATTTGTATACCACCCTTCTCAGGCTAAGAGTATCCAGTGTATTCAGTTCAGTGGTAGAGACTCTGCCGCACTCCAGAGCAGAGAGTTCCACTGCTGAATAACCCTCTCACAGTTAGGAAGTTGGGTTGTTGTATGTTTATTTGGCCTATATGGCCATGTTCTAGAGGCATTCTCTCCTGACGTTTCGCCTGCATCTATGGCAAGCATCCTCAGAGGTTTTGAGGTCTCACAACCTCTGAGGATGCTTGCCATAGATGCAGGCGAAACGTCAGGAGAGAATGCCTCTAGAACATTATTTATTTAAATTTATTTAAAACTTTTATATCCCGATCTTCTCAACCTCTGTAGAGGGACACAGACCGGCTTATAGCCCGAAACATGGCCATATAGCCTGAAAAAACCTACAACAACCCAGTGATTCTGGCCATGAAAGCCTTTGACAATACAGTTAGGAAGTTCTTCCTGATGTTCAGGTGGACTCTCCTTTCTTTCCTGTAGTTTGAAGCCATTGTTCCATTGTGTCCTAGTCTCCAAGGGCACCAAAAATAAACCTGCTCTGTCCTCCCTATGACTTCCCCTCACGTATTTATACATGGCCTTCATCATGTCTCCTCTCAGCCTTTGCTTCTGAAGGCTCAACATGCCCAGCTCTTTAAGCCGCTCCTCATAGGGCTTGTTCTCCAGACCCTTGATCATTTTAGCGATCTTTCTTCCCCAAAATCTTTAGTGGGGAGGCTTCAAAAAGTAACTTCCTGTCCAGGAAAAACCTTAAATAAATGGGGAGTAGCCCTCAAAGGGAGAAACTAATCTAATGTCATATTAATGGACAATTTAGTATGAACAGAACATTTTGATACTCTTCAATTTTATTTTCTAGAGCCAGGGATTCCCTTTCCTAGCTGTAAAAGCAATGGACGATGCCCTTCCTCTCTCCAATTTCTAAATACCTTCATTTAATTTTCACTCCTAACTGAAAACAAAGATACTTTCCCTTTTTGCTTCGACCCAAAATGAGACTTATAAGACAAAATAATAACCCAAAATAAGGTGGTCAGTTGAAACATTCCCACCTAGCTCCAACAGACAAGAGCTCTTTGTCCCACCCTGGTCACTCCACAGATATAAAAAAGGTAAAGGTTGTCCCCTGACATTAAGTCCAGTCATGTCTGACTCTGGGGTGTGGTGCTCATCTCCATTTCTAAGCCGAAGAGCCAGTGTTGTCCATAGACACCTCCAAGGTCATGTGGCCAGCATGACCGCATGGAGCGCCGTTATAAACCCAATTTTCCTACTTCCAACAGACCTCACTTCCTCTGAGGATGCTTGCCATAGATGCAGGCAAAACATCAGGAGAGAATGCCTCTAGAACATGGCCATATAGCCCAAAAAAACCTACAACAACCCAAAATAAAGACTCGTTTGTAGGACGCATCTGAAAAGTCACTTACGCTTCGTCAATGTTGGGATGGAAAATTTTATTCATGAATCCTGCAAGAGAGAGAAAGACAAGAGAGGTTAGCGGCCAGGTCCCTGTTACCACCATTCTTTAATTAATTATTTAATTAATTCAAACACAGCAAGAAAAGAAACTGGGTGCAGCTTGACAATGCAACCCACTACCGGAAACAACTGGATCTCTCAAAGTGCAATCTGTTGGAAACATCTGGAGATGTTAAGGCAATGCAATTCAATGTCTCCTTCAAAACAAGTACGCACACATTATGTCCCTAGTTCTGACTAGGAGAGGATCACAGGGCCTTCCTTCTACAATCATCAAGAAGGGAGAAGGAGGAACATGATTATTCATGGCATTAAGAAACTGGGTTTACATGGAAATAATTTCCACTGATGCCTACGCAAACCAAAGCTGAAAGTTTGAGCTTTCCATTCTATACACCAGAATTAAAGTCTTCGGAGATTTGGCTAATGATCAGTGGATCACAGAGTTAAAAGGGATCATTACTTAGGCAATTCTCTCGTTGTCCGAGTAGGATAGTCTTCCAAGATCGGTGTATTGGCGGTGGGTCCGTAGGTGACTGTGGAGCCCTATCTTGACCTGCATCTTCTCCTGCAGTGAGGGCATTGTTTTCCAAGTGGAAAGCGGTCCTGGTTGGGGTTAGCTTGATGCGCCTTCCTCTTGGCACGTTTCTCTCTTTCACCCTCCATTCATGCCTCTTCAAATTCTGCAGCACTGCGGGTCACAGCTGACCTCCAGCTGGAGTGCTCAAGGGCCAGGGCTTCCCAGTTCTCAGTGTCTATGCCAGAGTTTTTAAGGTTGGCTTTGAGCCCATCTTTAAATCTCTTTTCCGTTTTCCGTTCTTGAGCTCTGAGTAGAGCAACTGCTTTGGGAGACAGTGGTCAGGCATCCGGACAACGTGGCCGGTCCAACGGAGTTGATGGCGGAGGACCATCGCTTCAATGCTGGCGGTCTTTGCTTCTTTCAGCACGCTGACATTTCTCCACTTGCCTTCCCAAGAGATTTGCAGGATTTTCCAGAGGCAGCGCTGATGGAATCGTTTCAGGAGTTACATGTGACGTCTGTAGACAGTCCACCTTTCACAGGTGTATAGCAGAGTTGGGAGGGGAATAGCTTTATAAACAAGCACCTTGGTATCCCTATGGATGTCCCGGTCCTCAAACACTCTCTGCTTCATTCGGAAAAATGCTGCACTCGCAGAGCTCAGGCAGTGTTGAATTTCAGTGTCAATGTTGACTTTGGTGGAGAGGTGGCTGCCAAGGGAGCGGAAATGGTCAACATTTTCTAATGTTACACCATTAAGCTGTATTTCCGGCATTGGAGAGGGATTGGCTGGTGACTGCTGGAAGAGGACTTTGGTTTTCTCAATGTTCAATGACAGGCCAAGCTTCTCGTAAGCTTCTGCAAAGGTGTTTAGAGTGGCTTGTAGGTCTTCTTCTGAATGTGCACAGATGACATTGTCATCAGCATATTTAAGTTCTATTAATCCAAGGGATCCAAGAGAATTCCAATGCAATTTCCTGGCAAGTGGGAATACATATTGAAGGAGCCCCCAAAAGATGGCCATCCAAATTCTGTTTGAAGGCCTCCAAAGGGGGACAGCCTGTTATCCTCCTAGCCAGGCTTTCCCACAGCAAAAAATGCTCTTTTTTGCAATATTAAGGTAGAATCTCTTTTCTTGCAATTCGAATCCATTGGTTTATCTCCTAGGCTGAGTCTACACAGCCATATAATGCAGTTTCAGAATGTTATGACAGTGTAGGCTCATATAATCCAGTTTAATGCAGCTAATCTGCATTCTGAAACTGCATCATGGGTGGATCAATGTTTTAATTCTATAGATTACCCTTTGCAATAACTTATATATATTCCAATTATGTTTTGCACCCACTAAGGTTTCTTCCCAGGTTGCAATATACACCAAGTTGCTATGAATCCTAATAGTGGGGCGAAAAGCAGAATATAAAGGAACAACAACAATTATAATCACCCTTAATTGCCTTTAAACAAAGAAAGGCTGTCAAGCAGTCCTCGAGGAAATCAGAATGCGCAAATTTGCTCTCCAGGGTCAATACAAGAGGTGCATTTGCATACAGGTGCATTGCACCCTTGAAATCCTGGAAATACAGGCATGTGCATGCATGCGCACACACAGACAGAAGGAGCAGGCCAATCACGGTGACAGGCATTTCCCCCAGCACAAGCACTAATTAGCAGCACCAAGCCCTTGCAAGCAATTAGCGCCTGGCCACCTCAACCTCCCGCCCTTTTGCTCCCGATTAATTTGGATCCCCACATTGGAAAAACAATGGCTCCTAATGAGGGACAAGCCAGCTCTGCTCAGAGAGCTTTGCTTTACACAGAGGCTCCATCAGAGGCACTGCCACTTAATGTAGTCTGAAACTGCTTTATTTGGATAGTGTAGACTCGGGTAATATAGTTCAGTGCTGTCAAATTGGATTATATGTGCCTACAATGCCTGGCCGCGGTGATGGGCTGGATGAGGGCTAACAAGCTGAAATTAAATCCTGACAAGACACAGGTCAGTCGCTTGGCCGAACGGGGTATAGGGTGGCAACCTGTGTCCGACGGGGTTACACTCCCCCTAAAGACACAGGTCCGCACTCACTGCCTCTCCCTTAACCCTTTCCTACCTTATCCTATGACACACAGCAAACACAGAAGAATTGATCAGCAACTGAAGAGACTGGAGGGCTTTAGGGACTAACTCTACAGGATGGAAGTTGTAGTCCCCCCTGCATCAAGGCAGAGCACTCTTACCCCTTCAATAATGGACCTGGACCATATTTGGCACACAGAACCTCCACTGACCTTGATTTATAGGAGTTGTAATTCACCTACATCCAAGGAGCACTGTGAACCTAGCCAACAACAGATTTGGACCAAACTTGGCACACAGACCCAACTGTGCATACTGGCAGGGTTTGGCCATGATTGCCCTGGGAATCTGGGAGTTGTAGTTCACCCTTATACAGTAGGGCTGGGCGATTTTGTTCGTTAATTTCGTAATTCGTTATTAATTCGTTATTTTTTTTTTTTATAACGAAGCGATATTGAACCATTCAGGAGCAACTAAAAAACGAAACGAATTTTTTCAATTCGTTTCGTAATTGTTTAGAAATCGATTCGAAATCGTTTCGTTATTATTTCCGCATGTCTGGTGCAAGTTTTAGGGTTGCTGTTTGTTTTCTCAGTGAAAAAAAATAAATTATCACACCAACAGTCAACAACAGAGGGAGAGGGAAGCTTCCTGTCCCATTTGGAGGTTTTTTAGCGTATTGCACGATCGCGCCCGCCATTAACGAATCGATTCGTAATTGTTCCGAAATCGATTCATAATTGATTCGTAATTTATGAAATTTCGTAAATATCGAAATTTTTTAAAGGAAAATTTCGGAATTCTTTTAAAAATCGAAACGCAAAAACCCCCTAAAAACGAGTTTAGAAACAAATTTTTCCGTGGTTGCCCAGCCCTATTATACAGAGCACTGAACCCAGCTGACGTCTGATCTGGACCAAGCTTTGCACACAAAACCAACATGGGCAACTATGATTACTGGCTGTGTTTGTGGGTGATTGCCCTGGGAATCTGGGAGTTGTCTTATCTAGATATCACTAAACCCAGCTGATATCGGATCTTGGCACACAGACCCAACATGGCGAATTTTGAATAATAGCAGGGTTTGGGAAGGATTCACTCATGATTCTGGGAATTGTAGTTCACCCAAATCCTTATGCATTTTCTATTGTGAGAATTCATTAAAAAACAAAACAAAAGGAAAGACGGTTTTCCCTCTAATAAATAGCATTAGACATTCCCAAGCTGGTATTACCAAACTTCAAAAAACAAACAATGCCTTTTTGAAATAACCCGGGCACCGCCGGGTCCCCAAGCTAGTAATAAATAAATGTAAATAATTTCATAAAGGACATGAGCAAAAGCACAGGATGGAAGTCAATGGACATAAATCATTGTGTGTGTGTGTGTTTTTATTTTTTCTGTTTTTCTTTTCCTTTTTTTCTTTTCCTTTTTTTCTTTCTCCTCTTTTTCCCCCTTTTTCAATTAGATTTACTCTTTTCCCCCACTTTTCTGGAAACCCAATGTTCTCCCACTTTCCAGGTACACATAAGGTACTTTTTTTTCTTTGTTGTTTGTTGTTGTTTTCCCCCATAATGTCATAACAATAAAAAATATGACACTACGTAGCACAATTTTTGTTCCTGTGTTATCAATGTCATTTCTTAATTGGTTCTATCACAAAAATTAGAGCCGCTACTGAAGCAGAAACAACTGTCTGAAGTCAGGTAATTGGATGGTAAGAAGCAAGTTGGCCAGCAAATTGCATTGATAAACCTTATGATGTTGGTGTTATTGTTTTTATTGTGATTTTATATTGTTCAATGCTTAATCTGTATTTTGCTATTATGTGTACTGACTTGTTGTAAACCACCTTAAGTCGCCAATAGGCTGAGAAAGATGGCATACAAGTATATAAATAATAAATAAATTATGACACTACGTAACACAATTTTTGTTCCTGTGTTATCTGTGTCATTTCTTAATTGGTTCTATCACAAAAATTAGAGCCGCTACTGAAGCAGAAACAACTGTCTGAAGTCAGTTCATTGGATGGTAAGAAGCAAGTTGGCAAGCAAATTGCATTGATAAACCTTATGACACTATGTAGCACAATTTTTGTTCCCGTGTTATCAATGTCATTTCTTAATTGGTTCTATCAAAAAAAACATGAGAAAGGTTTATTATGCTGCAAAAACTGTGTTTGTGCAGGAGATGCTGCAGAACATTTTGCTATGGTGTTTCAATGAATATCTCAGAGTTTCAACCAACACAACATAATTTGTGGCAGCCACAAAAAAAGTTTCTGGAGTAGGACAACGAGTTTCAAAGTAAGGACCGCAAACTGAAACAGGAAATAACACTTTCAAACCAGGAACAGAACATTTTTCAGATTTAGTTACATGGCAAACC